GAGAGTTGGGATTCACATGCGGACAGAAACATTTACTGACTGAAATGGCTGCTATGCACATGAAATGTATACACATGAAAAAGCATTTAAGCTGACTGTCTCAAAATCTAGCATGCATTCTCATTGAAGATACCAAAAAAGTAATTCTAGGAGTTTTAGAATATCTTCCTTTAGTAACCATATTGCTTCCACTTTTTCTAGTTCTTTTTAAATAAACAGTTCAAGAGCTCCATCTTTGGGTTTATATTATTACTGTAAAAAAATATTACTTTCCTTCTGCATTGATTAAGTAGTGCCTAAACATCCCATCAAGTTACGCATATCTGCTCACACCTTGTCAGTTTGCAATGCTTAACTTTTATAGATGCATTTGTTCAGTTGCCTTCTCATAAACTTTGAATACTTTCTGTAGAAGATTATTGTTTTCAGTTTTTCTCTCATTAATTTGTTTTTGGTGGATTATGTTTTTCCTTTCCAATTATGATACATAAATCAACTTGACAGTTCCTAAAATATTTATGGATCATGCGGATAGATAATAGTGGCAGAAGGAGTTTTAAAATGGGCTGTTTTTCAGGTAGAATTTATAATTTGCTATAAATTAGCATGCTTTTATTAAAATCAAAGCATATGCTAATTTTTGTCAATGAAGAATCTGGTCATGTTCTTTTGGGAGCTGAATTTTAGTGAAAAATCAGTTTTGTTTCTGCCAGTGCACCAGAATTCTAAAAGACTTAACATAAATTTACCAGTGAGAAAATTTGAATCCATTTTGTTTTTCAATAAAAACTCTCCAATCCTTGTAGGCGGTCTTTGTGGAAAATGAAGTTATTTGAAAAATTTTGCTCCTCAAACAAAGTTGTGGAAGTGGTACACAGTGAGGAAATATTGCAAAGTAAATTAAACTATTAGTCTCAGAAGTCCATCATATATAAGACTACTCTTATGATTATCTTATCTCTTTTTTTTTTTTTCTTAAGCAAGGTTTTATTTCTTCCTGCTTTCTAAGTATTTTCAATGATGTACTCTGCTTACATGCTGAAATGACAATTACTGGCAGTTCTTTTAGCTTACCTTGATTACCTTGTCCTGATAGCTGCAGAATCTGCCTTGCTTCTGTTTTCCATAACAACACTGTAGAGAAGTATAACTACCATTTGTATAATAAATGGGATGAATTGATAATTTCCCATTATTGCTTAAATAAAGGTAAATCAAAACAAAGCTGGGACTCGACCCCACTCTCATTGCCCCCCCCAAAAGTGCCTTAATCTGTAACTGGTTTACCAGAGTATTTATTGTTGCTTTTAGTTTTTGAATATTGAACCTAAGTTAGCAACAAGCACTGATCTGGTGTCACATAATTATTCAGCCCATATTCATAAAATAATTGCTGCTGCTGCTATGTTCAGCATTTTATTGCTGTCTCTTGTATTGAAGGGTTTCTATTCCTTTCTTATTTGCTTTCTTCCCAGATTCCCCAAAAGAGTTGAAAGTCGCAAGCATACCTTAACTCCCAGTAGCGCACGTTCTTTCCAAGCAGGAGGTGGAGACAAAGAACACAAAATGCTGAGCAGCCTAACAGCCCTTATCTTTCTGTTGGCTTCAGTTCTGTATCTCTGGAAAGTCTGTAAAAGAAACTCAGGTCTGACTTGTACTAAAATGCCCACCTGAAAGATACTTCAGTTTTCTTTCAGAAGCCTTGTATGTCTTGCAAAGCTTTGCAAACTTTATGAATGTGTTTTTAATTTCTATTTAAAATAGAAGAAATGCAAATTAAAATAGCTATAAATACCTTATATTTCTTTTCATGGGGAAATTAAGGAAATCACAATCATGACAGAACCCAAGCTCATTGCTTCCTTAGTGGTCAGTATACACATTGATTGACATCCCAACTGAGGGTATAGTAACAATGCAGCTAAATTTTATCCTCATTTTGGAAAGTGCCTATCCTTATTATCCCCATTTTGGACAGTCTTAATTTAAAATGTGACAGTTCTTTTGTAAAACATGGATATATTTAAAACTAAATTTAAACTTAAGTGCTGTTTAAAATAAAGATGCTTTTTCCTTTGTCATTGTTTTTTGTTGCCTTAGTGAGAGTCATGCATTGTATAAGACATTAGGCAAGTATTAACTTAATATTCATTGACGAACAAGTCTATTAAAGGGTGTAGATTAACCTGCAGTATGATGCTTGCTTTTTCAGGTAAATTAAATAGTTGTAGTAATGTCATTGTTTTATCTTTTAACAGTTCAGCCCTCAAAGAGATTTTTAAGAAGTGCAGGGCCAAGACACAATAGCTTAAAAATAGTGGGATCTGTTGTATTTCCAGGTATTTTTCTTTAAACATAATGTAACAAATTTTAGTGAAAATATTGTTTTTACCAAGAAAAGGCCCTTCTTTATCATATTGCTTGTTGTTGAATTGTTTTAAATGGTTTTAAGTGGTTTAATTAATTACAATTCTGTAGTGACTTATGTATGTATGCATGTATTTCCATCATTGGAATTTATTTTTCATAGTTTTTTTTTATTCTTACTCATAATTTTTATGAAACCAAGTTAATTATTTTCTGTAACTGTTATAAAAATAACAGTGTTCTGTGTACTCTTCCACCTGGCTGCAGGACTCTTGCTCCAAAATGCTGCTTATTAAGAAGAGATAAGAATTAATTGCTTTCTAAGTTAAATCCATCTAACTCCAGAACATAATATTATCACTTTCTCTTCTCATTAAACAAAACAATTATTGGAAAATCTGAAAACTAAAGATCAGGCTGTTCCTCATTGCCATATATTTTCTCATGCTGCTTTTTCTCTAAATGCACATTGCTGGTTTGGTTTCAGTAATACTCTTCCCCATAGTTTTCTCCATGTGTGTTTTCCAGTTACAGCTTCACTAGTAGCATATCTAGAAGTGATAGTTCTGTTGTTCAGGGGAATGCTAAAAGACAACATTTTTTGACCTATTTTTGGTACAAGTTCTTAGACATATCAATTTTTATCCAAAGGTGAAACAATTCTGGGAAATAATTTGTTTTTAAAGGTTTCTGTAAGTAGTTTAACTTACAATATTATTTAGCATTAATGTTAAATAATGGCTCTGAGTGGTCTAAAGGTTCATCCTATTAGCATACTTTTTCTCTCTTCTGATTCTGACTCATGTCTGTAAACATGGCTGCTGCTTGAATGGCACAGGGCAATTTGAAAGTTAGAAGGCAAGATTAAAATGCTTTGTCCCAACTCTGTTTCAAAACAATTTAGTATTAATAAAGAATGTTTCCACCTTCTCTGGGACAGACCATTGTGACTATACTAGACTTGGCTCCAGTGTTCTTTTGAGATGCTGGGCAACATCTCTATTTTGAGGTTTTTTTCCACCAAAATTTGGTTAAATACAATGCTACGCTCTTAAAATCCTGCACTTTTAAAAAAACTGAAATACATGTTCTTTTTTGGATCACTAGCTAAGGTAAATATTTTTATAATGGAAAGAATATGAACAAATAAGAAAAACAGCAAAGAACTGTAATTAAAAGAGTAAGACTTTATTTTGAAAGAAGAAGAATAAGGTTATACCTGGTAGATATTTTTTTAGCCATTATTTTCTATCAATCACATGCCCTTCTGTTATATTATTCCTGTGGTACATGTTTACAAAACTGTTACGGAAATTTACAGTGGTGGGACAGAATTTACCATCTTGGCAGGTTATGATAATAATGACACCATAATTTTGTTACTTTTTATTAGCGATATGTATTTTTTTTAATATTGCTACAAGACAGAACAAAATGACCTTGAGGAAATAAAAAACAAAATGTGAAGTGGGAGAGATGCAATGTATACAGTTTTGCCCAATAGACTATTACTAAAGCCTATCAGTTAGTAAATTTTGAGAAAAAGTATTAAGGATTTGCAATGGAAAAAGACTAATCATATTGGCAGTTGCCATAACATGTAGAATTCATATTAATTTTCATGCTTCGGGGTTAAAAACTGAAACACCACCTGTAAATGACCATGATATTTCCATGATACACTATTGTACAGTTGAAAATATATAATTTGCTGTTTTCTGCAATATAAGCTACTGTAAAAACCTGATTATTAGCTGGGATGGACATACCTCCTGATCTTAAGACTATAAAAGTTCTCAAGTTATTCTTATGTATCCAGTATTGCATACTGGACAAGAAGGCATTCAGTCCTGTAGTGTAGGCCACTGGTGAAGATGTTAAGCAGTTCTGGTGCTTTTATCAGTCCTGAGGAAAGCTCTTCATAACTGGCTGCTAGGTAGACCAATCTTCAAAATGACAATGCAGACAGTTTTTCACCCATCTTGTATTCCACTTGTCTAGTCCATATGTCCATAGTTGGGCTACAAGGATGTGATGGAGGACCATACTGAAATTCTTGCTAAAGACTTTCGGTGTGTATGACATCTACTGCTTTCCCCTCATCCTCAGAAGTAGCCATTTAATTCCAGAAGACACCTGGGCTGGTCAGCCATGATTTGCCAATGGCAAATTGATGCTGCCTGTCTTGGCATTCATGCATCTGGAAATGACTTGCAGCAGTTCTATCATCTTTGCAGGGCCTGAGGTGAGGATGGCTGACCTCTGACTCCCTGGGTCTTCTTCCTTGCCTGTTTTTACAATGGATGTATTTTTTTGGTCTTTCTGGTCATTGGGGACCTCATCACCATAAGAGTCATTAATTAGTCAGCTCCCTTGGCATCCTCAGGTATATCTCATTCTGGTCTATAAACTTATGTATGTCCAGCTCACTTAAGGAAGTCCTTAACACCACACTTCTCTCTCCCGGTAGCATCTCCCCTAAACTCTGGTAGAGCCTGGGGCAGGGCTGGAAAGCAGCCCTTGCTAGGAATGAGTGAAACAAAGGTGGCGTTGCGTACCTCAGTGTTTTCCATGTCATTTGTCACTAGGTCATTCAGCCCCGTTCAGCCTGGAGCCAACATTTTTATTGCTCTTCCTCAATTGCACGTGTTTCTGTTGGCCCTTCACATCCTTGCCAGTTTCAATTTCTGGTTAATCTGCTCAAGGAAAATTTAAACATTGTTTTTCAGAAAGATGCCTCTAATGAAATCATTGTCCTAATCTGCTAGTATGGCATGAAAACCCCAAATCATTGTTTCTGCATGGAGTATGTTGGGCTACTTGTACATGTAATTTTTTCTCACATAACTAGGACTGCTTAGAGATCATGACTGGCTCATCAGCAATATCTTTCCAAGTCTGAGCAGGGAACCTGATTTCTGTTTTTTGTTTCCTTCTGCGTGTGTCTCATTTACCCTTTAGTGTAATTTCATTTTTAAAAAGGACATTGTGTTGAATTTATAAACCTGTTTAATCTCTTATTGTAGTTTACAATTTAGTTTATGAACCATTCATCCTTTTACAATGGCAGTGTTTCCAAATCCTATTTGCTTTCCTCTTAGTCTATACTGCTGTCTATCAGAACTCTGTCCTTGGTCAAGTAACTTTTCCCGTTACACAATCTGAAATATCATTTTCACCATTGTGATTCTTCATTCTTAATCCTCTACCTGCCAACCTTCATAGTAGAGCATTTCACATTTATATGACATCTAACACTACACTGTGGTTTTGCTCTGAATCTGATAACAGACTTCACCCTCAGTAAGAATTTTTAACATTCTTTGCCTCAAAGTGGTATAGGTGGGTTTGCGTATACTTAAGCCTCTGGGCTGTGGCATTTTACATGAAACTGTTAATCTCCCTCGGGATGGATATATTCTGGTTAGCTGAGTGTCCTGCATTGTAACTGATGTATTTTGATGCCCAGTTTGTGATGCATGACAGACACAGTATCAGGTATATTGTCATGTGTTTAAGTACTGAGCTTAATCTGATCAGACAGAAGACAACCTCCTGATTCACAATTAACAAAAATTGCCCGTTTCACTCCTCTGGCTTCTGTTTACTCAAACTGCAGTTTCAAGAATGTAGAACAGAAAACTGTGGAGACCTCAGACTTCTTCCATTTGACAGGTTTAAATCTCTTTGGGCAGATTGCTTCAGTAGTATCCCAAGTTGCTATGTCAACCTTGGTTCACTAGCAAAAAAGCCATGGTGGCAGAGGTTCTTGGCTCTGCGGCAACTTCAGGTGTACTAGAATCAGCAGCAGGCTGGCAAAAAGCATTTCAGTAAGAGAAGAAAACTTGTGTTTTCCTGAAATAACTTTCTATAGGGATGAGAGAGGTTTTAAAAAAATTATTTTTAAAAAGCGGTAATGAGAGGACTTCAGCTTCAGCCACCACAAATCTGGGTAAATACCACAAAGATACTTCTTAGTCTCCTAGGGCTGTTGTCACATTCTTTTTTTTTTTTTTTTTGAATCAGAGAAAAGAAAGTATAAACAGACAAAAAACTATTTAAAGTTTCTAGCTCATTAAATGTTTGCTGTGTAAAAGAATTTGATCATTCAGCCTCCTTTTAGAATGGGTGTAATCCTCTCTAAGTGGTAAAAATCATCTGGGTTTTAGTGTGACTAGTTAGTCTTCTATCATAAAGAATCTCCATAACAGTAGGGAATTGGGATTCATAAACCTTGCTTGATACACTATTTCATACTTTTTCAGTGTGGTTGTGGGAAAGAAAAGAATCATTTCAGTGGAAATGTAGAATTGTGAATCAAGTTTTAGGAAAGACTAACAAGATACTGCTTCTTGGAACGCTTCAAAATAAATGCAATTATTTAAGCATAAAATCTGTAGGAAGAGAACCTATCTTTCATTGTACTATCTGTCATAGTTTGAAAAAACAGATTCTCTTTCAGGCACACCAGCCTAAAAAGGTGTTTTGTGCCCCAAAAGTCTGTCTAGCTATATACATCAAACATCATGACTACAGTAAAAGCTCACAAAGAGCAGTAAACACTTTTCTTTCTGTAGCCATTAAAAAACAGTTCTGTGTTTTGAACAAGCAGCTTTGTTCACAGATAGTTCCAGTCCACTTATGTGGAGCTGAAAGAGTAATGAAAAATTAAATACTGCACAAAATGTAATTTAAAATCATTACAACTTTAAAATTAGCAAGTCATTTTTCTTCACTTAGCATAGTGACTCTTTTGTATTAAGATCTAGAAATTGAAGCTTTTAAACAGTTGTTGGCCTGGTTGAGAATACGAGATTTTTCAAAATACATTTTAAGTGGAGGAAAAAAACTAAAATTATTGATTCTTATTTTCTGGATCTTAAAGTTTTACTGCATAAACCAGCATTTTTTATGGTGTTCTGAACAGCTAAATAGAACAAAAAAGAGAAAGGATTTTGATCTTTATTTCCAAATGCAGACATTGGAATAGGCCTGTTCTAGTTTGGTGAAAATGAACCTAGGGATTTGGATTTAGCGAAAATCCACTGCTTTTCATACACATTGCCACCTAATTTATGCACAGAAGGAATATTTGTGTTGGAAGATTGTGACTGTCCTTTCATAGGACTGAAAAAAGTGTGTACTATAGTTTTGTAAAACAAAGCAACTGACAAATTAAATACTGCATTCAGCCTCACAACTACAAGCTAAACCCCAGATACTCTAAAACCTACTATTGGTATATCAAACAGTTGTTCTGTGGGGAGGGAAGGAAAGAGAATTAGAAGGAATATGAAGCTGCTTTTAGTAGATGCATATGTCTGTATGCTCATGCTATCCTTGTAACTGGTACATGACTTATACATGTTTCCTGAGAGACTGTCAGACTCCTGTCTGGACTACAAAACAGAGTATGTTTCATTCCTAAGAAACTTTACAGGTGAACTCAGGTTTATTATATACCGTGTTAGCTTTTGTTTCTGTACATCTATAATTCATCACTGAATTTACCTATTTGGACATCTTTAGATATTGCATATTTAAATTTGAACATGCTGAGTAGTTTAATCTGAAGATTAGAATTTATGATCTGGATTGATAGCTGTTTCTAAATGTCTGAAAAATCTGCTTCTGGAAAGTCCATTGGCCTGATTCTGCTGTCATTTACTTTTGTTCTTAATATATAATTTCAAAATACAGAAGTTGCTTTACTGCAAAACTGGTCTGAACAAGAAATGGGGTGGGAGGATCGGGAATAACTTTTTTGCACTGAAAGAAATGGAAGGAGAATCAATCTGTTGGTTTTAAGTTTAGTAAACAGGGAAACTAAAATATAGGAACACTTACTTTTAAATATCAAGGATATGGAAAGTTAAGGGATTTAGTCTCTGTAATATAATTCTCACAGGAATAGCTCTGTTTTGCATCCTTCTGACTCCTGAGGATCCTGGAAAATGGTCTGGCTTCCTCTCTTAGCATGAATTAAAAAAGAACTTCTGTTCTGTTTTAAATCATGCCAGTTTTCACTGACTCCAGGGAACCTCTGAACTTGATCACCTTGCTTTTTTGTCCATCATGCATGTGAAATGCCTCCTGTGTATAGAGACACATTAAATCATATAATGTAATTCACATCACAAAATGTGATATGAAATCCTGCTTACCTGTCTTACTGAACCTGCTGCAGAGGAATAAGATGGAAAAAGATTTAAGAAAACGGTGGATGGCTTAATCACTTTTAAAATTTCATTTTAAAGCTAACAGTCTGTTTTGTGAACCCAAATTCATCTGAGTAGGCAGAATTCATCCAGATAATCCCATGGAGCAAGGCATTTTAAGTGTGGTTTCTATTATACCACTAGGGAAAAAAAAAAAACCTCCCAAACAACACGATACGCTCTTGGTTTCATGATCCAAAAGGAGATTCTTCAAACACAGACATATCATTAAAATAATTAATGCTTACTATGTAAACATTCTGATCTTTTCTGGTATATGAAGCATTCGTTGGAATTCATCCAGATAATCCCATGGAGCAAGGCATTTTAAGTGTGGTTTCTATTATACCACTAGGGAAAAAAAAAAAACCTCCAAACAACACGATACGCTCTTGGTTTCATGATCCAAAAGGAGATTCTTCAAACACAGACATATCATTAAAATAATTAATGCTTACTATGTAAACATTCTGATCTTTTCTGGTATATGAAGCATTCGTTGTTCAAGGTAGGATAAAATTCTATACTAAGCTCAGGGACTCAATCCATCAGAAGAACACTTTACTTCTCCATTTCTGCTGATGTACTTTCAAAAAATATTTGTTACCAACCTCTTCACTGGATTTCCAAGCTTTGTCTTTTGCAGACTTCTTGTCATCTTTGCAGTTCAGTAATGTATTTTATAAGTATAGCAAAGCTGTCTGTGGTATATCTTCAAGGTGCTCCAGCTATCCAGTCAACTAACGGTGGTGTTGCTTTTGGCCCACACAGGGCAGTTGCACATGCCAAAGATCAGAACTATAGTTCTTAAATCTATGCTGGTTTTCTGACAATATTAATCTGATAACTATTCCAGCATACAGTAGCAAATGACATCCTAGTTTATAGATTTAGCATCCTGAGTAGTTCATCATCAGATTAAAAACCTCTTCATCATCCAAAAAATGAAAGACAGTGTGCCATTAATGTGAGAGCCTAGGCTGATACGGAATCCCAAACCATTCTTGTAAAAGAATTTGTGCGTTCAGTCCTTTTAATAGTACTCTTTTTTTATCAGCACTTGATTTTTTTTTTAAACACAGTGGTATATATGACAAAATTAAGTTAATTAAAAGATTAAATGGTTTCCTGAGGAACAAAGTTTTCCTACACCCTCCTGCCAAGTATGTAAAAAGATCCACTTCAATCAGGCTATTTTTTTCCCAATATCTTTCTTAAAATTGCATACCAGGAAAATCAGCGTGCATCTACAGTAACATGTTGGTTTGAATAGGAGTGTGGCTCTGAAGTGAATTGCTCGACTGTACCCACTTACCACATTTTGTCTGGATTATCGTCTGGTCTTTGAGTGCACAAACTGGATTCCTTTTGGATGAAGCTAATTGGAAAGGTTTGCTTCGAGAAATAATGCGTACTCAAACTGTAAAACCACATTAGGATGGGTCTGAAGTTAAAGCCCTAAGATGTGTGTAGTATAGATCTCATGTCCTTAGCATTGATTTTTTCAGTCTAAAAATATGCTGCTTTTGCACCACACTAATTATCTAAGCTTCCATTGTCTACATAAAAGGTCTAAATTATTTAGGATGTTAAAAAGATTTTTTTTGGCATCTGAAAATGGAAACAAAAATCCATTCTCAAAATATATTATCAAAGTGAGTATTTTACCTTGAAGTCTATTATTATCGACTCTAATCTAGTGGTTCCCGAAGTTTTCTTTGACAGCTGCCAGAAAGATGGGCTGCATATTACTACTTAAGAAACTCCTATCTATATTGTTACTGCCTGAAGACTTTTCAAGTCAGGAAAGGACTCATCAACTGTCATCATGTAACCCACATGCAGGCTACATGGGACAACTGTATGGCCCATTATCAGTGCCCAAATCTGACCTGAAGCAGTGCTTTCCTTTCTCTTTAAAAACCCAGTTAAAGAATCATGCTTATGATTTGTCCTTTGAAGTAGGATCCTCCTTCCTCTCTGCCTTGAACTAAGGAGTTGCGTTAAAACTTTGGCCACCATAACAATACGTATCTTTCCATACAGAAGGATTATTTTACAGTCTTAAACATACACGATTCTCATGTTGGCATATACATATAATTTTTTGGAAGGTCTGTTATGCAGTACTTGCTTCACTTGAACTTCCTGTCTTACCTACTTTGAAGTTTACTGCATGTTAAACACCACCAGCACCTAATTCGTGAGGCAGTTCCTGAAGACTGAAAGGTTAGTTTGACTATATAGACATATAAAAAGAGATTATTTGCCCAATTTGTCCCTTTTATCTGGGAGTTTTTTGCTCTTGGAAGTGGTTGTTGGAGAGAACAACAGATGTCTGAGATCAAATAAAAACAGGTTTCTAGGATTGCTTTGACAACCAATACTTAAAAACACAGCAGCAGTAAGGCATATTTGTGTAATGCTGAACCAAGGGACACCCAATCAGCTTCAGTTTCTGAGTCCTGTGCCTTCAGCTGAATCCATAATATTATTATTTTGTGCACAGCTTAACAGTAAATAACCATTTGGACCCTCACTTTCTGCATTTGCTCATGATGACAACTAAATTTATTTCATTTTTGTGTTTACTAGAAAATAGCAGTGTACAAATATCACCAGCAGGAACTTTAATATTGAGACACTTCAACCTGAGTGGAATTTACACTTGTTCCATTGTTTATAAGCTAACAGCAACGCAACCTGATAAAAACCTTGTAATAAAGTATCTTATTTATGGTAAGTTGTCAATCCAGGTAAGTGTGTTGTTGCCTTGAAAAAGTTTTATTTTTTAAAATGTATGTTGCTATTTTTAAATAAGTAGGCTTATTTAGAATTTAATTTGCAGAGATAAAGACATTCTGTTTCTCCAGGAAATTATTTTGAATATTAGTTACTACCAGGCAGTTCATTTAATGTAATTTACAGAGCCTTAAATAAAGCTCAGTGGCTGACTGAGAAATAAAACACAGCTGTATAGATTTATTTCACACGTTAATGCCTAATTATTACCTGAATGTGTTTTTTAAGTACATATCATTTAATGATGTAATATTTGTAGCTTATTCTTTCCTGTTCTGATTACATTTTCTTCTGTCAGCAGGTAAAAAGTCTTTGATAAAGTGAAATATTGTAAAGGCAACGTCATTTATTCATTACTAGCTCTCCTTTTCTTCTTTCAAGGATACTTTATTCTTGTGGAGATGTAGGCAAGAGTTTCTATTGCCGTCAGCAGGAGCTATGTCTGATCTTGAATTTAAAACGTGTACCAGTGATCATTTAGAAACATGGTAGAGGACAATAACCTAAATTAACCTCTCATGTAAATTAATTTTACTTTGACACAGTAGCCTTCATACAGAATAGCCATGACTTTTAGCAGCTAGCTTGCTTGACAGAACTGGAAAAGAAAAAGTTTCTTTGAAACAGTTTTGATGGAAAAGGTTACAGTTTTCAGTATGCAGACTTAGATCCCTCAGTAAGGATCTGATCTGAATGTTAGCATACAAAATTATAGTTTCATACATATATAAAAAAAAATGAGGAATATGCAGCAGCAGGGGAAAGGAAATGGGGGAGGCAAAAGCAAGGTAGAGGATCTAATGAGCTGTCTTAATTGGGTGCCATATTTTGGATGTTCTGCTGCCTCTTTCAGCTGGTTCAGTTTCTATTCCTTCGTTCTTTCTTCCCCACCGCTCCCTTCTCCTTTCTGTGGGTATACCCACATCATGACCGCTGTTCTTCTTTCTTTTACTCCCATTTTCTATTTAACATTGTGCTCTGTTATCATGAAATAACTAGAAACATGCATTTTATGGTATATTGGCTTATTTGTAAAAGATGCCCAGGTATGCATTTAGCTTCGCAGTAAAGGTGAAATAGTTGATCCATCCATAAAAGTAAATTTCATATCTATACGGAAGCTTTTTTAGTTACTTCTGCTCACGGAGAAGGAATTCCTGTTCATCTTATTAGTTGCATCTTCTATTGATCTCTGCGGAAGAGGATTCAGTTTTTAAACCCTTTAAAATACTTTTGTGATAGTTGACTAAAAAATATGTAACATACTACTATAACTGGCCATAATGTGTGAGATGAAATATTGTGTCACATACTAAAGGGTATTTTGTTTGCTTAACCTTGGCTTTCATAATCCTGATCCCTTTACTGTAATCTGCTGTTGGTTTAAAAAATAAAAAATTACAATAATAAAGAGTAAGACTCATCTATGGATATAAATAAGAACGTAAACTTGTAAAAACTCTTAAGTGTTTCCAGCTGGCCCAGCATACACCATTTTATCATTAAAAATTCTCTGGGAGTGCAAACTAGGTTTTGCTTATAAATTAAGGATTTAAATTGGCAATTTTATTTTCAAGTACACAACTTACTTACTTTTCTTCTTTTTACTTCATATATGTTCCTCATCATCTTCCACATTTTTTCCTGCAGCTTATTCTGATCCTAGAAATTACTATGAGTTCACAGCCCAGTATCATGCAGCCCCCTGCAACAGTTCTCATAATACTTCTTTTGAGAAAGCATTGCTTCAGATACTAAGCAAACTCGTTTGCTGACCTTTCTTGTAAGGTTACATTAATTAAGTCAGAATGCCATCATGTAAAAATGCAGAGAGGAGGTCTACAGAATGAAATCTTCTTTACATTTTCAGGTAAAAATCTGCCTTGCTTTTAAGGAATGGTTAGAATTTTTATAGTTAATGGAATGTATTTACTGCTTATATGCAGAAAGTATTGTAAGGGTTTAATAATAAAGTTTCTTGATTGTAAAAACGCTTCAAAGTATTTCATGTGAAATTCATGTCAATATCAAAAAGATAGTTGCTCTACTTAAAAGTGGATTTTTTACATTATATCAGAAGAGTTTTAGAACTTTTTATAGCTGTGGATAGATCAATATGTTTTTAATTTTGTGTCATAAAACATTATCATGTCTCTTGTTGCACACTGACATAGGAAGGAAGGAGATACAGTGCGCACGTCCAAGTCATGAGCAGCCAGTTTCTCCAGGAGAATGCTGTGGGAGACTGTGTCAAAGGCCTTACTAAAGTCCAGGTAGACAATGTCCACAGCCTTCTCCTCATCCACTAAGCGGGTCACCTTGTCATAGAAGGAGATCAGGTTAGTCAAGCAGGATCTGCCTTTCATAAACCCATGCTGACTGGGCCTGAGCCCCTGGTTGTCCCGTACATGCCACGTGATGGCACTCAAGATGATCTGCTCCATAACCTTCCCCGGCACCAAGGTCAGGCTGACAGACCTGTAGTTCCCGGGATCCTCCTTCCGACCCTTTTTGTAGATGGGTGTCACATTTGCTAACTTCCAGCCAACTGGGACCTCCCTGCTTTGCCAGGACTGCTGATAAAGGATGGGAAGTGGCTTGGTGAGCACTTCTGCCAGCTCACTCATTATCCTCGGGTGGATCCCATCCGGCCCCATAGGCTTGTGTGGGTCTAAGCGGTGTAGCAGGTCGCTAACCATTTCCGCTTGGATTATGGGGGCTTCATTCTGCTCCCCGTCCCTGTCCTCCAGCACCGGGGGCTGGGTACCCTGAGAACAACTGGTCTGACTATTATAAAGACTGAGGCAAAGGCGGCATGAAGTACCTCAGCCTTTTCCTTGTCCTCTGTCACCATGTTTCCCCCCACATCCAATAAAGGATGGAGGTTCTCCTTAGCCCTCATTTTGTTGCTAATGTATTTGTAGAAACATTTGTTTGTTGTCTTTTATGGCAGTAGCCAGATTAAGTTCCAGTTGGGCTTTGGCCCTTCTAATCCTCTTCCTGCATAACCTCACAACATCCTTGTAGTCCTCCTGAGTGGCCTGCCCCTTCTTCCA